ATGCATGATGGAGGTTGGCGTGAATGTCAAGATGTTGCTATTGCACCATTATCTGAATTTAATGAGGATCCAAAATGGTTATCACATTTGATCATTAATATTCAACCGGATAAATTAGTTTCATTTATTATCAAAGGAAACATACTTGTTAAAGGTGAATGTGGAAGATCTTATGCAATACGTGAACGAATGCATCGAAGTTTACCACAACCACTCAAACTTAAAATTGTTGTAACTGATAGTTTTAATAAACAATGTTCATTAATTGTTGAACAATTAAATCAACCACTTGAACTTCCTACAATTGAATCATTTAAACAAAATACAATAGGATATCAAGATTTATTTCATTTTGTTTATGCTGATGATTGTGATAGTGATGAGAGATTATATATATGGATGGATTTAGGAAAAAATAAGACGTTAACAATTAGAAATTCAAATTTAAATTCTACATCATTAGAACGAAAAACATTACTTGCAATGGAATTTAATGCTAGAAAAAATAAAATTACTGAAAGTGAGTTACCAAGTGTTTCCGAAAAAAATGATTCAGACGAAATTAAAGCAACTGTTCTGTACGATCCATTAACTTATATGAGTTATGCAATTCGATTTGAAATATCAACAAAAACATCAAAAGCTGAAGAAACTGTACTTATTCCTATAGAAAACATGTTATCGGAATAATCGAAAGTTCTTCGTTATTATCTTTAATACTATAGAAATAAATAAAACTATTCATATTTTATTACAGATTACTTGTCATCGATCTAATTAAAAGCTGTTATAGAAAAATATTTTATTTTTTAATTTGAATATACTCAATAAATTATAAAAAAAAACCTTACTAACACTTAATATTCGTTTCATTACAAAATCATTATCCGATACAAATAGTTTTTATTATTTACTAAATCGAAGTTACAGCTTCCAATAATAAGTTCGATTCAATATTAGACATTTGATACGTAGTCAAAATACTATAGTGACATACATCAAAATGTTTTCTTTTGTTTTTTTGAGTTGAAGAGTTGTGATGGAAAAATCTTTTTATTTTTCTATTTTATCGTCTTATAAATAATTAGGTTATTTATACTGTTTGCCCTTGAGATTTCTTAAAGTTTTCATAATCTCATTTTCACTTTGTTTATTTTATTATTAGCAAAAAAAATGTTTGACGTCATTGTATTTGTTTAAAATAAATCTAATGTAAAATATAGGCGTGCTATTAAATCATTACATTATACCTCCTTCTCTTCGTCATATGCGGGGGTATCATATTTGAATATTATGACCTACATACAATCTAGGATAATACATAAACTTCTATTAATTCAATGAAATTTTATATTAACAGATTTGTTTACCACTTAAACGTTGAAATCATCAATACGTATGAATTATTTAACTTGCGTACGTCATTCCTCTTTCTTCTGAATACAAGTATTTTTATTATTGTCATAGTGACTGTAAAAGAAGTAAAACAAAACGTGGCATAATATTATTTTGTTGATTTCTGCATGTCTTTGTCAACCATGGACTATAAAAACAAGAAAAAAGAGAACAGAATACGTATCTTATTTTGAAATTTCTATAAGAGTAAACATACATAATGTCATCATTACGTTTAAAAGTTCAATTTGGTGAAAATCTATCATCTAGTAGAGATGAAAGAACAGCGACAGTTCTAAAATTTATCTATGCTGTTGAACAACCAACAACTACAACTATTGATGATCTTACTCGAGCTCTACAAAAATATATTAATCAACAACTTTCAACTTATAATACACGAATAGTTCAATTAACTACTGAAGATGGTTTTGTTCTACCAAAATTTAATTCATGTTCATCAGTACTCAACGATAATGATTATCTTATTTGTATTGATACGAAAAAATGTGCGAGAGATACTTATTTATTAATCAATTTTTCTAAAGCATGGCTCGAAATGAAACAACATGATGCTAGTGATGACTATGAAAAATGTATTCAAATTGGTCTTAATAATATTCTTAAATTATATATTCGATTGTATGGAACAACAACAGCTTTTGGACTCTGGGTTTTTGATACGTCGGAATTAATTCAAATTGCGACTGAAAAACGAAAAGGTATTTTTGTCTAAAAGCTTTAGATTTATTGAAATATATTAGAGAAGTCTATGAGTCTGAAATAGTCTATTTAAAAGTGATCATAAGAGTTAAGGGTAACTTTTCCCGCTATAATCTTCCTATGCAGTGAGATAATTCTCAGCATGAAATTTCCAACTTTTATATTCTTATTTTTTACTAGAAATCTTCCTATTACACAATATATTATATAAAAACTATGAATTAATTTTTTAGACAATTTGATCGCTCGTGCCGATAATGCCGATAATGCTGATGATGAAAATTCATCAAATGATTGGTTTCTTGAATGTAAATGGGAATATGATACAACTTCGAATA